GAATTCATTTCTCAGCAATTGTTCTTTTAGGACACTTCGGGCCTTCATGGCTTTAAGGTGGCACAGGACAGAAATTGCTTGCACTAAGATGGCATCAGAACAATTCGAATATTTGTGAAACATATTCGTATAAGTACACGACAGCAGCAGGAAAACAGCACTTTGAGCCACCATTCCAAGGTTAAATAACCCTAAACCAGCCTTAAGAAAGTTAAAGCTTAACTTTGCGCACATCTCTTCCAGATAAGCCGAGGAGGCTGGCAAACTAGCAGAATTGTGAATCTCAGAGGGTGATACTGTACTGTCTTCAAGATCACTTGGTTGGCATTGTAAGAGAACACTAGCGATTTCGACACCAAACTCGGAAGTAAGGCTTTCTAGTTTGAGGTCCTCTTCAGAAACGGTTTCAGGAATTGAAATATTCTTTCGATCAAACTTTGCCATGAACGTCTCCTTAAGTTGGTCCACAAGGGACACTTGACAAATCTCTTCTACATTTTCTAGAACTCTCTGACAGTGCAGCAAAGATTTCTCTTGGAATCCCACGAGAGATTCTAACCGCGCAAGACTTGAATTACACTTGAGTACGTCGGGGTGAACAGCTCCAAAAGTGCTTGTGAGAATCTCTAATGCAACTGTAAGACATTGCCTTGATTGCTCAACTTTTCCCATGTTCGATAGAGCAAGCCCCTGCTTCAGCAGAAGGGTAGCAACCGTTGGATGACTTGCACCACATCTTTCGCGACAAAGCGTCACAAGATACACTAAAAATTTGCATGCCAAATCTTGATTACCTTGATGAACACAAATATCTACTATGGTCTCTGCAGTTGTAATCAAAAAATCTAGAGGGACGTTTGCTTTCACATCAAGAAGTTCTATCAGTTCAGCTAGCGTCAAAGTCTTGGTATCAATGATTGCTGAAGCCTTTGACGAGTTTCCCAGCAATAGGTAAACTAGACAAATTTTCAACGAAATACATTTTGACAGTTCCTCCATTTGATTTAATTCTGATTCACAGAAAGATTTCAACATCTCAAACTCCTTCAAAGCTTTTCTAGGATTTCGGTTCTCTAAAGAGGTACACGCTTCATTGAATTCTACAGCGGCAATTACTCTTGGGTGTAAGGGAGCTTGACGTAACATCGAAAAGAGCTCACTTCGAACTTGTTGATCAGCTATGTGGTCCCTTTGAGCCTGATGTACCAGTCTTAAGTTGTTACGGACAGTTACAATATTCTCTTTAACTATGTGGCCATTGGTCGAGTCCTTGAGTAATTTAAATTTGTTAAGAGCAGTTTCAAGATTTTGTTTTGCGTTCTGGAAAAATCCTTTGCAAATATACACACAGCCTAAGTTATTATAAGCAATGCCCAAGCTAATGTTCAATACCTCCTCATCAGCACTTTCTATATGGCTAACGGACTGCTCAAATGCAGCAACAGAAATTGCAAGACTATATTTCTTGAGGGCAAGCACACCACAAGCGTTGAGAGATCGGACGAATAAGTTTTGACAGCACGTTTGCGGCAACAGAATGGTTCCATTTTTTGAATTCCATGAGGCATTCGGGATGTATGTTTGCTCTACACGGTTTATTATTTGTTTCTCCTCTAAACAAGAGTTAGAAAAGTCATTCGGCGTCGACCCTTGAAGGTGCTTGTAGATGTTTGCAGTGTCTTTTCTGCCTCCGCCGAATTTCCGAGTTGAAGCTCACTCTCTAATTTCCCAATGCCTCTGATAACTAGACAACTTTTGCTTCCGTATTCTGGGCAGCAAATCGGTTCTATTGTTTCTACGATAGAAAAAAGAAGTGGTCGTGGCTCCGTCAATTCCAAGCCCCTTCATTCCCCACGGCATGTGTCAAACATTTGTAACTTTGAAAACAATGTTGCAAATGCCCCACGGTGGAGCTTTATTGAAGACTGGAAATTCCCGACCTAAGGGACACGGTAGAAATTCAAGATGGAAGTAATAATTGCTCACAATACGGAAATGGATTTAAATAACACCTGTGACCATTGTCATGGATTTTGGAACAGATGGACCTCCGGAAAGTAACAAAATTTAACAAATAATGCAACAATTGGCATTCCATTTCGTCGGGGGCTTTATGCTCTTATTTCTATGTTTGACTACCACTGATAAGACGGCTTTACAATCGGCAAGTGTATCGACAGAATCTGAGCTCTATTAAACAGTCTAACTGAATGGTAAAAGTAGGCAAGCTCTTCGAATTGAACACCTTGCCCTGTAATTCTGTCAAGGCCTCTTTCCGAAAATCTATGGCTCACACGAGCAAGCAATGTTATAAATTTTTACCCATGGGGGGTTGAGAGTGGAACTAATGTTCGTGAAAAGTTCAGGACTCCAACGAGGTTTATCAACACACAGTTTTTATACGTTTTGTATTGAAGGCAATGAGGAAACAAACAACTAGGCTAAAAATGAATTTAAAAACAGAAAGATAAAATTGTCTTTGGCAATGCCCCACTATCTGGCTGACCTGTTATAGTCGTGATAGTAAATGCCCTACTTTGAAGAAGGATAAGTTGTCAAATGCGGGACAAATGCTAGGAGGATAAAGGGGCTTGAAATTGAGGGAGCCTTACATATGTGTTGCAGTCTTTAAAATGGAAAAAAAAAAAAATCAACTGTTGTCATTGAACAAAAACTCCGAAAAAAAAAAGATGAATTCAGACATCTCAGAAC